ATGTTTGCATTTGGAATGTTATCTATGCAAACAGAAACAAACTTGCATTATTAATATTCCATCTGAATTGTTTTTGTCTCCTTTAGCGAGATCCGATCACCTCTGCTGCTCCCAGTGGTGTGCCGGCTTCTGCTCCTCCAGCTCCTGATGATGGATCTGGGTCTGTTTCTTCTCTGCCACCTGAAATGAGGAAGACGATCCCCTTACAAGATCAGCGGTGGATTGCATCTAGACTCTATCATGGTGGCAGACTTTGGTCAGGCTTGAAGCTCTGGTACGAGCCTCCAGTCCCCTCCCTCATCTACCACCAGGCTCCATTACCAGACCGGTTCTTCACACACAGGCTCCTGGTGTGGATGCCCTACCACCTGTGGAAGGTCAGGCTGTTTTGTCCTGTCTGTGGGAAGCAGCTGACCGGCTATAGCATCCATAAAAGGGCTCGCAGGGTGCTGGATATCGACAGGTATTACCTGATGGTGACAGAGACACTCAGGTGTACCGTTTGTCGTCTGAATTACATTTCCAACAGCCAGACCGTCCTGAACCAGCTCGACTTGCCCCACCGGACACTGTTTCGCGTGATCTTGACATACAAGTAAGACACAATCTACACACGTGTTACAGAATCTTAGTTCAATAAATAATAATAAGTGTTCATTATATTGACCGTTTAATCGTTTGACAACAACAGTTTGTTTATCTTGCATGTAAAATGCATATATTTATGGTATTTTTGCTTAAAAGGTATGCATGTGACATTCGTGTCATACGCGTGCTGAGGGAGAGGACACTTGGAAATAGCCCCACCAGACTGGCCAGACAGCTAAAGGAGATCCATGGGGAGTGGCTTCACCACTTGGCCCACTACATGGAGGAGTGCGCTGTCTTTGCTGACCACCCCAGCTTCCTCCCTGTTGCCTTTCAGGAGCCTCCAGAACCCTTTGAAGTGCCTACCAGCAAGTGGCTGTTGACTGTTTATGGGAAGGACATCATAAGCCGTCTGGATCATATTAAGGCCAGCATCACCTCAACATTTGGGACCATTTTAAAAATGGATTCAACAAAAAAGGTAGAAGTTAGTTGCTTCACACTTTTTGACTGCACACATTGCTTTTTGTTTAGCATAGCAGTTGTGTGTGTGCACTATGGAATGTATTGTTATTAATGCTTGGTGTGAATATTGTTTGTGATTTTAGAGCATGAAGAAGCTGGCCGGCCATGCCCGGGGCACTGTGCAGTGGATGTCCTCTGTTGGCAACAAGAGAGGACAGATACTCATCAGTGTCCTGACTGCCCAGGAAGGCCCTGGTCTGGACTCCATGGTGTCAGGTCTGGTCAGCAGGTACCAGCAGGCAAGGGTGGCTCCTCTGGTGCTGCTATATGTGGATTCTGGCTGCTGTGTAGACAAGGGGCAGAGCAAGCTGCAGACCCAGTTTGGAGGATGGCCTAACCTGAACATCAGGCTGGAAATCTGGCACTTTATGTGGCGATTGGTGGCAGGGTGCACTACAGATGCTCATCCCTCTACCCAACCTTCATGGCACGTCTGTCGGCGTGCGTGTTTGAGTGGGATACGCATGACATTGCTCTTTTGCATCGGGTGAAGAGAGAGCAGCTGGAGGACGAAAGGCTGCCTCTCATCACCGATGACCTGGTGAACAGGCGCATTTCAAAGAAGGAGCTGGCCCTCTACTGCCGTCGGAGGACTCGTGGAGTGGAGGCCACAGTCCGCCTGATTGACCACCTACTGCAGGAGCTGAAAGAGGAAAAGGGGAGAGACCTTATGGGTGTCCCTCTGCTGGACACAGTGAGGATAGAGCACATATGGCGTGTTCAGAAGAGGCACGTCAAGTGCATCCAGGACGTGCCAGGTGTGTCTCTCTACACCGAGACAGGCACCACCACCACCAAGGGAGGGTGCTCGCCAGGTACAGGTGTGCTAGGGGCTCAACATCACTCGATTCTTTCCACTGCCACATGCAAAGGTTCATTCCAGGTTTGTGGATTTTTGGCATTTCACTGTTCTGTATATCAAATACATTACAATACAATACATAATAATATTCCTGCTTACAATCTCCATTTTATGGCCTTATTTCCTAAGAGGAACCAGCACAAACACCCTGAATTTTCAGGTCTATCTCCTGGAAGGCCTGAACAGGTGGAACCAGGACCGGGCAGCAGCTTCCTTGGCCACCAAGCTATCCTCTCTCCTCACCTATGCAGGGGAGGTGGTGCACTGTATAAACACATAACAGTCTGAAGGTGTTTGGGAGGAAATACATTCCCAGCTTCTGGCCCCCTTCGAAGTACACTGGTAAGAGTAAAACATTTAATGACCTCAGCTCCACCATAATTAGTTTAGTTATCTGAATTCTGTTTTCTTTAGGGGAGCTTATCGGAGTGGACTACCTACTCGTTCAGACTGGACAGCCGCTTCAGAGGGTGGACCCAGATGCTGAGGCAACAGACCAGCTGCTGGAGGAAGTTAATGTCGATGAGCAGGAGGATGAAGGATTTGAGGAGGACCTAAGTGATGATCCCGCCTTGACCTCATTGCTGGAAGATCTCACAACAACTGCAGCATGAATTCACCCTGCTTCTTCCTCCGCCCCACCAGCCGCCGCGTCCTCCTCCTCCCAGCCATCCGCCGCGTCCTCCTCTGCCCTGCCAGCTGCTACAAGCACTGATATGTCTACAACTCCACCTGGTATCAGTGCTCCAGAGTCTCCCACTCAAGTGCCTGAGGAGACTTTGGTAAATATCACAGTATTAGAAAACTCATTGTATAACAGGTTACCATTTAAACCTTTGACTTATCTTTAAACATTTGAGCCATTCCTAAAATACCTACTGTCATACATGCAGACAGTTAACATATATTTTATTCAATACACTGTCTTAGGCTGTGGATGATCGAAATGTGCCAGGGATGGACCGGGTGGACAGCCTGGCAGATTATCTGGTGGAGCTGAGGCATCAAACTAGTCTAACCCTCAGCAGTCAGCAGGTGAGTGGCATTTTTAAAAAAGAATGAAAAGGAGAAGAATAAATCTCTTGTGTTTAAAACCAATATTGCATGTAACTCATCCGTGTGTGCATGGTTTGTCTTTTGTCTTTTTCAGGTCAGTGAAATTGTGGCCCTCTGGCAGAACCTGCTGGATTTTGACAAGCAGCGGGTGGTCTTTGCTACCAGACACCAGGAAAGGTTGACCACAGGGAGGTTCCGGTCTCCTAAAAAGAAGGCCGTTTTCACTCCTGGGGTAGATAGTCTGAAACGGTGTGCGTTGGCATCGACAGCTTCACCCGCCCAATGGCCAGACTGTTGCCGGCTCGTGGAGGCCATTTTCATCAGACTCCGCAGGATTCCCAAAAATCCGAGGAGGAAGGGCAAGGGCTCCCTGACAAGATGGTCTCTAATCCTGCGCGACTACCGCAGGATCCGGCAGCTGATCTTGAACAATGGGGCCATCATACAGAGCACCAAGCTGCAGCTGGTGGAGGTGAATCAGACGACTCTGGTTCAATGGCACAATGAGAGAGTGAGAAGGCAATACATGACTCTCTTGTTGCAAGGAATGGATCTGCCCGATCCTCTTCCTGTTGCTGCTGAGCCTCTGCAATCTGCCAGCGCTTGCCCGGCTGCACCACCATCGTAAGGGCAAGGGCAAGAGCACGTGTACAGCTTGCCGCACAACACAGTAGGGCAAGCCAGACAGAAGAGGTGCATCACCTCCACGTCCCCCCTAGACCCGCGTGAGACGGCCAGACCAAAGCTGGCACCCCAAAGACAGTTGCTTCCTCGACCTCCAGGCGCTTTTGTCACACTTGCTCCCCACCCTAGCCCCACGTACACTGTGTTTGTGGTCCCTGGACCCTCAGCCACCACCACTCCTAAGCCCAGCAGCACTCCACCTTCTGTAGTGCTCCAGCCACCCCAAGCTAGCAGTATTCCTCCAGCTTCGGCCGTCCAACCACGAATGTTACGTCGATCACGTGCATATACAAGAAGAGTGGAGGCGAATACTTGCAAAAAATGTGGTCACCACAGGACAGCGGAGACTGAACATAGCCAGTATAAGGGCACTATTTACTGTCCGAATACTGAGACTCTAACAAAAGAGCAGTGGCTGGAACACATTAAGAAAAAATAGCTTTTATTTCTTTACAGAGTTATATGTATAAAATTGCAAAACAGATGCCTACCAATCACTTATTTCTCTTCATCTCTCCTTTCTTTTCTTTTTTCTTTATTTTCCTCTTTTTTTTCTCTCATTTTTCCTTCTTCCCCTTCTTCCCCTTCTTTCACCCTTCTTCCCCCTCTGAAAGAGCCCATTATTCCCCAGCTTGAGCTCAGTCGGTAGAGCATCATACTTCTAATCTGAGGGTCCAGGGTTCAAGTCCCTGTTTGGCTGTTATGCTTGCTGTGTTTGACTTCTTGGGTGGAAAAGCCAAATCTTGGTTGAAATTGCTGACAGCTTCCAAAGGCTGTGAGGATTAGCCTTCCCTGACCTGGAGGACAAACTTTGGAATTGCTGATGTTTTCCAAATCATACTGTGCCAATCTAGCATTCAGAGTGCCTGTTGCAAGGATGATGGCTAAGATATGCTGGTTAAGTTTACTGAGTGATGGGATGGTCAAAAGTCTTGTCTGAAAAAATGCAAACACACTACTTAAACAGACAATTCTATGATTCAGACATTCTTAACCCAGGACATTGTTTGACAGGTCCACTGAAACTTGTATTCTGAAAACGTCTTAAGCAGTATTTTCAGGCAATTTTTTTCAGCAAGCACGATGGACAAACTTTGAAAGCATATTACAGTAGGTTGCTAAGTTACTACTGGTAATTAGTTGAAAGTGTTATTACCTGAACAATGTTACCTTTTAGCATGAGGCCAACAAAGACATGGAGGGTCATCATAGAGATTCGAGTCCATATGGAAGTCTCTGCACAAAAGCCTCCAACACCAGCATGTACGTAAGAGAGCAAGCATCATGACCCCAATGTGACTTGAACATACAACCTTCTGACCTGGAGTCAGGCGCGCTACCGTTGCGCCACAAGGTCCCAAGCAAGGGTCCTAAAAGCATCATACCACAGAGTTGGCAGCGCATTCTAGTTCCTCGTTGAGGTGATAAAGACGCATTGAAACTCAGAGACAAGTGGGGGGTTGTGACAGTTGCGACTAGGTTCTGACATCTGGGCTAGAGCTTTTTCAGAGGACAAGGCACAAGCTCTGGATTCCACTTTCCAAGACAATAAGGGAGAATTTCAAGAGCAAATGGCAGTTCTCACCTCAGGGTCTGAGTGCGAAGCGTGGACAACTTGTACCTGAAGCTCAACTTAGAGACTGGACAGCCTATGTGATAGGACCAAGGTTCAGCTTTCTTTTTATGAACTTCACACATTTACTGTTTATATGAGTCCTTTGTGTCATTATACGTGTCAGATGATGGGCAATCAGTGGCAAAGGTGGTACAAATCTGCTCGTTGCAAGTTACACAGAGCCAAAATTACATGGCGGTTTGCATCCTTCAATACTGCACTTGGCCGTAAAGTAGAGTGTTACCGAAAGGTCCCTCGTGTCCATTTTGTAAGAAAGATATTAATTAATAAATTGTTGAATGCTACAAGGACCAGACGGCATTAGCCTTCTCCAATCCAGTGCAGAGGATCAATTTAATGAGAGGCAAAGATTAAACAGCAAAGATTAAGCTATTTGATTCCTCTGTAACCCAGCACTCAAGAGTTTTCTTTGTCAATAATTATTCGTTATTTGTAAACAATTATTCGTCATTTCTGAAGCAGTAGGTTGGGGATTGCCTTTTGTTTTGCGAACTCCGTTTTCTCCTGGTTTTTGGCCAGCTAGGGAGTTAGGGAAGACTTCTGTATTTCTTTTGGGAAATTTTCTTTGTTAGGTAATTAAAACTTTTCTAAACCCCTAGTTAGTTTAACTTGGGTTTGTTATTTTGGCCTGGATACCCTTCCGAAGTTATGCACTTCTAATCAATGATTTAAGAAATAATAAACAAACTTTTCAGCTTGTGAACAAGCCGCTATTGTGGTCATTGTGAGCTGGGACAGGCGAGGAGGAGTGAAATTATTCTTTAATTTTATTCTTGTCACCGGCCTTACCAACCCTAGACTGGTCAGGGCGTGACAGAGGACAAAGCACAAGCTCTTTTTATCTCAGTTAGGATTACACGCATTTCATAATTTTAACCTGCAGTGTTTCTCCCAGGGTCATTCTGTTTAGAATTATTGGCACATGAATCGTGTAAGGAATAACTGAAAGGAGCTGATTGTGATCCCTGCTCTGCCAGGAGATTGTGTTCCTTCGCCTGGTGGTTGTGCACACATACACAGTCTACAGTTCGCGCTGCCCAAGCTCCTCTGACCTTATTGTCTTTGTGTCTTTGTGTATTGTAACAATGAGTGGAAGCTGCCAGTCTATGCAAACTCCCAATGATTGGATGTATAATCATGCTTATGGTATTTTCGTTCAACCTTTCGTCGATAATTTGGCAGGACGACCCACAAATTCACAGATTCGTTGTCATTCCTTCCTCGCCATTCAATCTGTTGGGTCGTGATGTTTTGGCCAAGTTGAACTGTTGTTTATCTTTTGAAGGAGGACGTCTTGTTCTCAGTACTCCACCTAATCTCTGTTTTTCTTCCATCGTGTGTGCATCTGAGGCCTGCAGGGACCTCGTCATATCCACCGAGCTTTCTGAGGTTCCATCCAAACTGTGGGCCACGCACGTCGATGAAGTAGGCCATGTACAGGTAACACTGTATGTTGCTAACCTCCATTCATAAATAGTAAACAATATCCTCTTTCTGTGGAGAAGGAGGAGGGTATTCATACTGTCATTGACTCGCTGCTCGAGCAGGGTGTTATTAAACCCACTTGCTCGCCCTACAACACCCCTGTCAACCCAGTAAAAAAATCTAATTGTAAGGGCTGGTGCTTTACGCAAGATTTGCGCCGCATTAATGATCTAGTGATACCTATTAGCCCAATTGTGCTGCATGTCTCATCTATATTATCAGCCTTTCCACATGATCATGACCATTTTACTGTTGTTGACCTCTGCAATGCCTTTTTCAGTATCCCTGTCAGTGAGCAGACGCAGCCAATCTTTGCCTTTACGTTCAAGCAACGTCAGTATACCTGGACACGCCTCCCTCAAGGGTTCATCGACACACCGGCTGTGTTCTTGTCCGTGGTGCATTCCTCACTGTCATTACTTGTCCTGCCAGAGGGCTGTTCTCTCCTGCAATACACAGACGACATTCTGCTTCTGGGGAAAGACGCAGACTACTGTAGAAGAGGCTCCCTTGTCCTCCTCACATACCTGGACCAGTGTGGTTTCAAGTCCTCGCTCTCTAAACTCCAGTTCTGTCAGCCTTGGGTGCAGTATGGGGGTTTCTGGGGTTACTCATCTCTCAAGGTCAACAAAAGCGCAAACTCTCATCTGTTCGTCTCAGAGTCATACTGGAGGTCCATCCGCCCAAAACAACGAAAGGTATGCTCAGTTTTCTGGGATCGATTAATTACTGCCGCCAGTACATACCTGACTGTTCATGTCAGCAGGCCAGTGGTGGCTAAGTGGTTAAGGCTCTGGGTTACTAACCAGAAGGTCAGGGGTTCAAGCCCCAGCACTGCAAAGCTGCCACTGTTGGGCCCTCTGCTCTAGGGGTGCTGTACCATGGCTGACCCTGCATTCTGACCCCAGCCCCCTAACAAGGAAAATAATTTCACTGTGCTGTAATGTATATGTGACAAATAAAGGCTGCTTCTTCTTCATCATGACAAGGTGTTGTGCTGCCTCAAAGACATGCCTGATGATAGTGAATGGATTAAGGAAAGGATGGACTCTTTCTGTTATCAATGCTCTGTTTCATCTCTATGTCACAGAGGAAGAGGGTATGACCACGGTAGTTTGCCCAAAAGCACGGTGGTGGTTATCGTCCAGTAGCCTACCTTTCTAAATCTCTCAACCCTGTGGTCCAAGGTATGCCTGCATGTTTGAGTTCAGTTGCTGCCTCTGCTCTACTGGTCTCAGATGCTGAAAGAGTTGTCCTTTCACACCCACTCACACTGCATGCACCACATCAGGTAGTCACCATTCTTAATAACATTCAGACACAACATATGACTGCACAGCGTTGCTCAGGCCATCGTCTGTGCCACACAGAATCTCACTATTAAATCAGTAACAGCCCAAAATAGCCCTGCTATTCTGCTCCACCACCGCGTACACTCCCATTAGGAGGAACAGGCCACAGATGGCTGGTTGGAGCACGACTGCCTTACTGAGATTTCAGAACCATCATCTCTGCACTCAGATCTTTCACAACACCTGTTGTAGGGCGGTGTCCACATATTTGTAGATGGCTCATGTTCTAAACCCAATGACAATACCACTTTATGTGGTTATGCAGTCTGCTCTTTGCCTAATGTTGTACACGAAGCTCACTCGATCCCTTTCCTTTCAGCTCAACCTGCTGAACTTGTAGCTCTGACAAGGGCATGCTGTCTTTTTAAAGATCAAGTGGTAACTATTTATACTGATTTGTGAAATGCTTTTGGTGTAGCTCACGATTTTGGTAAGATTTGGCATGCAGATGGTAAGCCCATTTCACATGCTATGCTGAACTTTTAGAGGCCTCAATGTTACCTAAATATCTAGCTATTGTTAAGGTCAAGGGTCACGACCCAGGAGATTCTGAAACGGCTCGCAGTAACTCCCTAGCTGATGAAGTAGCTAAATGGGCAGCCAAAGAGGGCACGCCCTCGCCTTTTGTGCACAATACAGCCACAGTGTTTTCTCCGTTTACCCACATTTTGACCCCATTATATATTGACATATCTTTTTTAAAAACACAGGCTACCAAACAGGATCTTTCGTTTTGGTCATCTGAGAACTGCTCGCCTTCAGATGAGGATGGACTCATTCGTTGCCCTCAAGGCCGCACTGCGGTATGCCTTTCACATCCAGAGTGACAAAGAAACTCTGTAAAAATCTCAACATTGACTGGAACTTTCACATTCCCTACTATCCCCAGAGTTCAGAGATAGCAGAAAGAAAGAATACAACCATTAACGACAGACTCACCAAAGCATTATTACAAACGAACAGCCGGAACTGGGTGGATCTCCTGCCCTCAGTTTTTTGAGAGAGTCGCATGACACTGCATCCAAAATCACAACTATCTCCCTTTGAGATAATTATGGGCCGGCCATTTCCAACCCCTTGGACTAAATGTAATCCTGGTGTTTCCTTTTCAGGCAACCTGGAGGTGATTGTCGGCGATTACACTCAAGCACTGATTGAGAAATGGAACAGTGTGCATGGTAATGTCTCTGCCTCTCCCCCTACCAACAGATAAGCTGACTCACACTTTTCTCCCAGGTGATGCTGTATTGGTAAAAAATCTCAATCCCAGGAAAGTGGGGGAAGCAGCCTTTGGCCCTCCCACTAGAGTGGTAGCTGTCACACGCACTGCCGTCCTCACCGACTTGCAACCCCAGTGGCTCCATGTCAGCAGGTTGAAACGGTGCCCTGTTCCGGTGACATCTAAGAC